TGGGCTAGACTTTCCTAGTGGGATTAATACTACTATGAGAACAAAAGTTCTGCAAGGACAAGGACTGTCCATTCCATTTTTTTTTTTTTCTTTTTCCTTTTTGTTTTTTGAGAGAGAGTCTAGTTCTGTTACCCAGGCTAGAGTGCAGTGGCACGATCTTGGCTGACTACAACCTCCACCTCCCGGGTTCAAGTGATTCTCGTGCCTCAGCCTCCTGAGTAGCTGAAATTACAGGCACCTGCCACCATGCCCAGCTAATTTTTGTGTTTTAGTAGAGACAGGGTTTTGCCATGTTGGCCAGGCTGGTCTCGAACTCCCGACCTCAAGTGATCCCTCCACCTCGACCTCCCAAAGTGCTGAGATTACCACGCCCGGCCTTGTCCATGCCATTTTGTAGTCCCATGCCCAGCTCAGGTCTTAGCACGCAGTAGGAACTTTCATCTAACGCAGAGCCTGGAGTTTAAGTAGTGACAGCCAGTATTTACTGAGGCACCAAGCAGTGTTCTCAGTGATTTCCATGTATTAATTCATGTAGTCCTCAAAGTTACCCCAGTAAGTAGGCACTTACTAGGTAGGCACCATGTTAAAAATGAAGATGCACAGAAAGATTGAGTAATTTTAAGTGGCAATAAAGGTGGTAGGTCCCACCCCAAGCAGTCCAGCTGCAGAGCCTGGGCCCTGAACTACTGTACTCTTCTGCCCTGTCACACACTTTACAGCAGAGGTGGGGAACGGTGGTCTGGGGGCCAAATCCAGAGCTAAGAATAGTGTTACAATTTTATAGGATTAGTTTTAAAAAGAAAAAGGGAAAGAAGACGAATATGTAACAGAGATCACATGTGGCCCACAAAGCCTAAAATATTTACTCTCTGGCCCCTTACAGAAAAAGTTTGCTGACCTCTGGCCTAGAGGAGACAATAAGGGCTTTTGGACCTGCTCCTTTTTTTCAGGCTTGCCTTGGTGGGTGTGGTGGGCAGCCTAAGTTCCAAAGGTGAGACTGGCAAGCTGTGGTTAAAACTTCACTTTCCCTGGGATACAAGGCTGAGCCATCTTTGTTTTCTTTCCTTCTCTAGGCGGAAGACATAAATGTCAAGTTGGAGGGGGAGCCTTCTGTGCGGAAACCAAAGCAGCGGCCCAGGCCCGAGCCCCTCATCATCCCCACCAAGGCGGGCACTTTCATCGCCCCTCCCGTCTACTCCAACATCACCCCATACCAGAGCCACCTGCGCTCTCCTGTGCGCCTAGCTGACCACCCCTCTGAGCGGAGCTTTGAGCTGCCTCCCTACACGCCGCCCCCCATCCTCAGCCCTGTGCGGGAAGGCTCTGGCCTCTACTTCAATGCCATCATATCAACCAACACCATCCCCGCCCCTCCTCCCATCACACCTAAGAGTGCCCATCGCACGCTGCTCCGGACTAGTGAGTGACCTCCCTCCGTGGCCCTGGCAGGAGCGGGGCTGGGGCAGTGGGCAGGGAGGCATCTCAGCCTATGGGGCTGCTGCGGGATTGGGCTGGAACACTCTGGGAGAAGGAGCTCTGCTCTGTCTTCTCTGAGATTGAGAAGGAGGTTGTCCTCATTCAACAAGGAGGGGCGGGGGGCCCGCCCAGCTGCTTGGATTCAAATCTTAATTTCATCATTTACTGTTACATCCACTTTTGCAAGTCACTTCAACTCCCTGGGCCTCAGTTTTTTCAGTATTAAGATGGGGATATTAGTAGTACTTGGTTGATGATGAAATTGCCAATATTCAACTATTTTTGGGTTCACAAATAGTAGTTTCCTTTGGTTCAACCTAATGACCACTTCCTAGGCTCAGGTGCATTAGCGCACATAAAGCTGGAACATCATGCCAGGCCATCCTGTTTGCTCATAGTCCTTTGCACCAGATCTGGTCTCTGGGGCTCTCAAACAGTCATTTTGGCCAAAAACAGACACTCTGGAAATATTGGGCTGGCTTGGGGTGGTGTCCTGTCGAAAAGTGTTGCCCACTCCACAAGGAGATCCATTTCCTCTGCAGAATGAGGTAATCCAATCCCTTAGGGTGGTAGAGAGGATTAAGTGGAAGTAGCTAGCTCATAGATGCCTTTGGCCAATTAACCTTTGACTGTGACCTCACCCATGGTGTAGCTCTCTGGTGCCCCCTGGTGTCTGTGGGTGCAAAATGTTTGCCCTAGGCTGGCCGGCCTTCTGTCCTACTTCCTGGGGAGGCTTCTCCCTGGCTAGGCTGTGTAGGAAGAGGAAGTCATTGTGGAGATCAGACTGGCAGCCAGCGAGAGGTCAGTCTGCCCACGAGTAGTTACCGAACACTTGGGTGTAAGGCCTTGAACTGGGTCCTGTGAGGGCTCCAGGAATGTACAGGACACTGTGGTCTGTTCTATAGAGAATGCAAGGTCATTAGGGAGTTGACATGAAAGCCTGGGAGTTGGAAAAACAGAGGTTCCTGGCAGTGTGGGATCTGTAGCCAGTGAGTGAAGCCCCTAGCAGCTAGCCTGGGCTGGTGAGGACTGCATTCAAGTGGGGTGGGGCCAGAGCTGAGCCCCAGAGATGGAGGAGGGCAGGGGCAGGGAGGACACACCAGGGAGAGGAAATGACTGGTGCAAAGGCCTGTAGATGGGACCATGCAGGGAGAGTGAGGGGCCGAGAGATAAGCAGTCAGCTAGGATGCAGGTCCAGGCACACGGGTGGTGAGAGGTACAGATGGAAGCGGAACTGCCTTGAACTCTGAGGGGAGGGTTGCAGGTTTTATCTCGCATTGCAGCAGGGAGTCAGTAAAAAGCAAAGATTTTTTTTTTCTTTTTTGTTTTTGAGCAAAGGAGTGTTTTGATCATGTGGGGCCTTGAGAAGACCAGCTTGGGGCTGGGCACGGTGACTCACACCTGTAATCGCAGCTACTTGGGAGGCTGAGGGAGGAGAATCGCTTGAACTTAGAGGTTCAACTCCTTGAGCCGAGATCACACCACTGCACTCCAGCCTGGGCAGAGACAGAGTGAGACTTTGTCTCAAAAAGAAAGAAAGAAAGAAAAAAAACTAGCTTGGGAGAAACTGAGGCGGAAAATCCAAAGAGGAAGTGAGAAAGAGAGACAATAACTGTATAACAGCGATGCCCTTCACCACCTCTCTAGTGTGCTCAAAGTTTCAGTCTCTTTACTAGAAAACCACAGCTTTACGTTGGAGCTGATTCTCTAGTGTTGGAGCTCCTGGGGCAGGGATATGGCTTTAGTTGTAGAAGCAGTAATAATAATCTTTATCGAGTGCCAGGCTCAGTGTGTTACTTTATCCAGTTCTCACATTAACTCTAGGAGACAGGTAGTAATCGGTCCCTTTTGGTAGGTGTGCAAACTGAGGCACCCAAATATTTAGTGAAGAGCCTGCATTTTTGTAGGTGGCAGGCTGCAGAGCCAGGACTCAGGTGCTTGTGTTCCCTGTGTGAGCTCTGTGTGTCACCACTGTGACTCTTGCACATACAGGGCAGCCACTAGGATTGGGGGTGCTTTGCTAAAAGGAGGTACTATTTATCAACCTGCTCTTTGTCCCGTAGACAGTGCTGAAGTCACCCCGCCTGTCCTGTCTGTGATGGGGGAGGCTACCCCAGTGAGCATCGAGCCGTAAGTGCAGCCCTGCCCCTGGCCGAGGGTGTGTGGGTGGCCACACTGGTGCAGTGTGTGCAGGTGGGCCCTGGGAGCAACAGGAGGGTTCCGTGGGGACTGCATAGGGCTGAGAGGGCCTCCCTGAGCTTCTGTATTTGGCCCTGGACTTTGCTGTCCCCGCCCTGCCTCTGTGTGGAAGTTGCAGGGAAGGACAAGGACCGGCTCAGCTTGAACTTATCTCTAGGAGAGTTGGAAGGGGGGTCCAGAGGCTCTTTCCCATCTGTAAACCTGGAGCTGCTTCTCCCCTCTCCTGCCTCTAGACCTTGCCTTTCTAGTGGTGCCAGGTCAGAGTGTCCTCCCAATCCCCTAGAAGCCAGACTCCCTCCACCTAGCTGAGGCCTTGCTCTGCCGGCTCCCCCTCATCTTCTTCCCACCCTGAGGGATCATCAAGTTCTCTGTCCCCGCAAGGTGAGGCCTCACCTCCTGCCCTTTTCACTCCTCTAGACGGATCAACGTGGGCTCCCGGTTCCAGGCGGAAATCCCCTTGATCAGGGACCGTGCCCTGGCAGCTGCAGATCCCCACAAGGCCGACTTGGTGTGGCAGCCATGGGAGAACCTAGAGAGCAGCCGGGAGAAGCAGAGGCAAGGTGAGGAGGGGCCTGGGGCAGCCAGTGAGGGCAGGCACAGGCCTCAGCCTGCCCAGCCCCGAGCTGAACGTGGTTTCCTCCCCTCCCCCCTCATGCTCCTGTGGATCCAGTGGAAGACCTGCTGACAGCTGCCTGCTCCAGCATTTTCCCTGGTGCTGGCACCAACCAGGAGTTAGCCCTGCACTGTTTGCACGAGTCCAGAGGAGACATCCTGGTGAGAAGGCGCCCCCAGCAGAGGGAGGACCCCTCAGTGGGGGCTGGCTTGGATCCATGTCTGCTGCTCAGGAGCTAGGCCTGCTGGCATGCACTTTTGAGGCCAGTAGGAGGGTCTGACTAAGGAAGGGGCTGTAGAGGCTTGACCCGAGGGAGCCCTAGTTTCGGCCCCCACGTTTTGCTGTGCAGCGTTCTCCCGTCCATTCCCATCCCTGATTTTGGGTCAGTGGACTCAGAGACTCAGACTGGATGGTTGCTGAGAGCCTTCTCCAGCAGTGCTGCCTCCCTTGGGGCCATGGTCTCTCTTAAGAGGACCTGAGGCCTGTTTTCTGGGCAGTCTCACCCCCTGTGATCTCACCACCCCACCAAACCCCTTATCTCTCAGCAGTTAAGGGGGGCAAGAGTAAGTACCCACCCTACTCAGGATTTTATCAGGGCCTAGAATGCTCTGTCCACCACTGATACCCCTGCCAGCGCCCTGACCCTTCCCTCACTTCCCCTCCAGGAAACGCTGAATAAGCTGCTACTGAAGAAGCCGCTGCGGCCCCACAACCATCCGCTGGCAACTTATCACTACACAGGTGGGCCTGGCTGCGGCGGGCATGGTGCCCTGAGAGGTCCCCAGCATCCATGGGGCCCTGCTCAGTGCTGAGTCACAGCCCTGGGTCGGGGCAGGAGGAGGAGGGTAGATAACCCAAGAGTCAGAGTGAGGGAACTGCCACCAAAGCTGGGGTAGCTCTCCAGGGGTTTCCTGTGCCCTGGATGGGAGGGGAGAAGGGAGTGGGCAGGTGGGAGCCCATCCAGGCAAAAAAGCCCAGGTCACAGGGACAGGAACCCAAGGAGAGCCATCCAAATTGGCATCAGGTACCTGGAACTTAGCCCCAGGAGTGTATGTCCTGTTCTGGGCACTCTAAGAAGGACATGGACCGAGTCACATAATTCTAGCAGCCAATGTTTTCCATCCATGTTAGTGCTACATTTCATCTGCACCAGGTTTCACATGCATTATCTTACTGAGTCCTCACCACAGCTGGTGAGCTAGGTGATATTAGTTTCCATTTCACAAGCAAGGGAGTGAGGCTGTGAGCAACATGGCTAGTGTGTAGTGGAAGTGGGATGAGGAGCCGGCTCTGATGCCTGCAGAGACCATGGGCCTTAGACTTTTTTGCTGGTCAGAATGGCCCCACAGTGGCCAGGGCCCCGCCCACCTCACTCCCTCGCTGCCTCTTTGCTCCATAGGCTCTGACCAGTGGAAGATGGCCGAGAGGAAGCTGTTCAACAAAGGCATTGCCATCTACAAGAAGGATTTCTTCCTGGTGCAGAAGCTGGTGAGCTGGGCTCTGTTTCAGGGGTAGAAGAGGGCCAGGAGCTAGCTGCCTGTGTGACTTCAGGGCTCCCTCTGCCAGTGACCAAGCCCTCTTAAAAAGCAGTCAGGTCAATGCTACTGAGTAGCCTCAGAGAGAATTTCCTAAACAATACAAGAAAGAGAAAGATTAGGCCTCTTTTCTCTATTGGTTCTAAGCACCCTTTCCTCACTTCAGGGTGGTGTGGCCAAACTCTGGGGTCTCAATCCAGAAGGAGGCCTAAGTGGGCATCAGACTTAAAATAGGCAGGAGGAAGATGGGGAGGAGGGCGGCAAGTAGAGGTGAGCCATTCCCCAGGGGAAGGTGCAGGGGGAGGGCCCCCTGGGGTGAGGGGAACTGAGAGCCAGCAAGTGCCTGCATAACTGACCTGGGGGCCTCTGCCCTCCTTTGACTAAGAGTTGCCTTCCAGTAACTCAGCTGTTCAAGCCCACATTCCCTAGATTTATCTTGTCCTCCCTCCATATTCTTCTGGAAAAGCAGATGCTTTGCTAATCAAGGAGTTGCATCTTTCCAGCTCTGTCTCACAAAATCTGGGCCGTGGGGAGAGAGGATTGTGTAGACTGCCAAGGGAAGAGTTTTTAAAAAAAAGCATGCCCTTTCCTCCTGGGATTGTAGATTGTATTGGGAACAGCCCTGGGGACTAGACAAAGTGCTGATGATGAATTCCCCTGCAAGGGCCCTGTTGTGAGGAGTCCTTTGCTATGTTTTAGTAACACTCTGTTCCCTGATTGGGCAATACTGACGGGAAGTACACGCCCGTGAAATTCACTGAGGCGCCCCAATGCCTAATGAAATGAGCAGACCTTTAGTCAGTCAAACAAAGGGTCAGAGAGAATTGACAGTAAATGTGTAAACGGCCTAATTAATACATGTGTGACTTGGCCATTTCTGTGAGATGAAAGATGTCTGTTTCCTCCTCAGACACAAAGGGCCCACACTGACCCCTGGCCTCTCTGGGACAGGAGCTCCCAGCCCAGCGGTGGCTGAGCAATGTGGGAGCCTGTGGGGTGGTGTCAGAGAAAACAGCCTCTTCGTGTGGGAAAGTCGCCCAAAAACTAAACCCAGTGTCCAAATAGATTTGTGCAAATAGATTTATGCAATGGGAGAGCTAGAATTTCAGAGCTTGAGAGGCAGGCCGCTGGAGATCTAGCCTTACTTAACCCCATTGGCTATTTACACATGAAAAAACTGAAATTAGAAAAGTGAGTGACTTGCCTAAGCTCAAATAGCTATGTGATAGCAGAGTCAGGAGGAAGACTTAGGCCTTTCACTTCCTCCTCAGGTTTCCCAGGGCTTTCTTGTGAGTTTCCCTTGAGTTCCTCCCCCGACAGGGCACAGTGTCATTTCTGTATGCCCACTTGTCAGCCACTGCTCCCTGGAGAGAAATGACATTTTGCCTGGATTAATGAAAAGCGTCTCTGTTGCCAGGTCAGGGCTGGCTTTGGATACAGATGGTGCCCAGACCTTTTCCTTCAACTTTTCAGTTTGAAAAATTTCAAACTTACAGGAAAATGGAAAGAACAGTAGAATGAACACCTATCTACCCCGACTTCGATTTAGCAATCGTTAACATTGGCTACATTTGCTTTCTCTTTCTCTATGTCTAAACATAGACATACACATATACAGCTCTCTCATTCTCTGATTCAGCTAATCATTAAAAGTTACAGTCATCCTGTCACATGACTAAAAGCTTTCAGCATGTATCTCCTAAAAACCAAGATATTCTACAAAACCACAGTACCATTAGCACGCCCAAGAAATTTAACCTGATAAAATAATTCAGGCCAGGCGAGATGGCTTACGCCTGTAATTCCAGCACTTTGGGAGGCAGAGGATCACTTGAGGCCAGGAGTTTGAGACCAGGCTGGCCAACATGGTGAAACCCCATGTCTACTAAAAATACAAAAAAAACCGTAGCCAGGTGTGGTGGCACACACCTGTAATCCCAGCTACTCAGGAAGCTGAGGCATGAGAATCATTTGAACCTGGGAGGCGGAGGTTGCAGTGAGCCGAGATCGCGTCACTGCACTCCAGCCTGGGTGACAGAGCGAGAGACTGTCTCCAAAAAAAAGAAAAAAAAATACAGTAATATCCTCTGATACGCAATCCACATTGCCTTCTCCCGGGTGGTTCTGATGTTGTCCTTTATAGCTTGTTTTATTTATTTACTTATTTTAAATAGTGCTGAAGCATTGATTGATCAGTGGTTTGTTGCAGAGCAGGCATTGGAAAAATGCTTGTATTTCCTAGGTTGGCTGGGTTTCATTTTGGCTTGAAGTTAAGGGAAAGATGCAGGGACGAGAAAGGCTGGATTCTCCCCAGGCTGATGAGCCAAACCAGAGGGTTCTGACCTCAGTTTTGACTTCAAACCAGATCCAGACCAAGACCGTGGCCCAGTGCGTGGAGTTCTACTACACCTACAAGAAGCAGGTGAAAATCGGCCGCAATGGGACTCTAACCTTTGGGGATGTGGATGCCAGCGATGAGAAGTCGGCCCAGGAAGAGGTTGAAGTGGATATTAAGGTGACTCCTTTTCCAGCCGCAGATGCATAGAGCCTGGGCTGGGTCTGGGGCCAGGCCTGAGCTGGGAGCCTGAGCTCATGCTCTCCAGGAGCCTGCAGAGGGCAGGTTGAGGAAGACAGTGTCCCTGACAGTCACAAGGAGCCCTGGACCGCTGGGTTCTCCTCTCTATACTGCTGGTGTCATAGTAATAATACATCGTGTTGATACACAGGGTAATTTTCTCACAGGATTCACACCAGCATCGTCTTCCTATCTCCGCATAGCAGACCTCTAACACTGTTTTTCAAACCTCAGTCATTCTTGTATCACCTTTTTGATTTCTGCTATATCTGCATCCTACCTTGTGTCACCATTAGAATTTTTGTCATATTCACATACTACTTGTGCCATTACTTAATATTTTCCTTTAAATCAACTCATTTTTTACTCAGATGGGAAGCTTTATATCACAGTGATAAATAGAAAACCAAGGTTGTGTGCTATAAATAGAAGGTACTGGTAAAAATATATGTGAAAACCAGTGTTACTAAATTCTAGCTAGATACTGTGTTACCTGCCAAGGCTGAGACTGAGGCCGGACCTTGCTCTGTTAAAGAGATTATTAAGTCTAGAGAAGTATAAAAGACACATTAGCAGCAACCAGAGACTGAGTCCTTGGCATAATCAGGATTGAAAGAGAATTGAAAAGGGAATGTTACTTAATTCCGTGTCCATGTATCCACCTAGCATCATTTTTGGGATTGCAAGTCCATGTTCGGTGACATGCTACTGTAAGACAGGGAGTGGTTTGCTGCCCATTTTGCAGGTAGGAAGGTAGTAGAGCTACAGAAAGCATTACAAAGATAGTTTGGAATTGGAACTCAAGGCTCCTGCCTGGCTCACCACATCATTGCCAAGGATGCCTCCTGGTCATGTGTCCAGGAGGATGGGTGGCAATGGGGAGCGACTGGTATATACCCTCCCTGCCCTTCGCTCTCTCTCAAGTGCTCCCAGGGCTTGAGACTCTCTTCTGTTTCCATGGCTACTGTGCCATGACCCCTCGGCCGGGTCAGAATCTGTGCTACAGCAGTGAGACGGAGCTGTAGGCTCACTGCCCTTGTTCTTGTTCCCCATAGACTTCCCAAAAGTTCCCAAGGGTGCCTCTTCCCAGAAGAGAGTCCCCAAGTGGAGAGAGGCTGGAGCCCAAGAGGGAGGTGAAGGAGCCCAGGAAGGAGGGGGAGGAGGAGGTGCCAGAGATCCAGGAGAAGGAGGAGCAGGAAGAGGGGCGAGAGCGCAGCAGGCGGGCAGCGGCAGTCAAAGCCACGCAGACACTACAGGCCAATGAGTCGGTGAGTGTGACTGCCATGGGCTGAGCCCAGGGCAAGCAGGGTGGATGGAGCTGGGCCTGGGGACATGGGAGGGAGGGTAGAGCAGGACTGTGATCCTCATTATAATCATAATAGCAGGAAGTGTGCGAAGTACTTTGTGCTGTTAACTCATTTAATTCTCACAACCCTATGTGGTATTACTGTTATTCCCATTTTATAGATGGGGAAATTGAGGCCCAGGATAACACAGCTAGTAGGCAGCCTGAATCCAGAGTCTGCGATTAATTTTTATACTCTACTGCTTCTGTATCTGAGATTCAGAGGGAAAAAGGTTTTGTGAAAACCCAGTAGGTTTGTGGGTCACTGAGGGAGCATTGGTGGGTTGTAGCTTGGACAGGGCTCCCCTAAGAGAGCCGGAGTCCCTGACAAGAATGAGACTGAGCTGAGACCATGGGAATGACAATCATAGGCCCTCAGGCATGATCTCTGCAAAGTGCTTTCATTTCCATTATCTCATTAATTCCTCACACTGCAGAGTTAACCTCTACTCTGCAGATGGGGGGAAAGCAGTTCAGAGATGCTAAGTGACTTGCCCCAGGTCCTTGGACTCCTAGTGCAGTGCTCTGTCCACCATATATCACAGGCCAAGAAGCAAGACTACCGGCCATAGTTGCTCCTTACCAGGGAGAGTTCTCCCAGAAAGCAGTAGGGAGGGGAAGGGGTTTATTGGAGAGCTGCTGCTGTTTGAGAGTCGTTTTTTTACCCGTAAAAAACGGGTACACCCGTAATCCCAGCACTTTGGGAGGCTGAGGTGAGTGGATCACCTGAGGTCAGGAGTCGAGACCAGCCCGGCCAACATGGTGAAACCTTGTCTCTATTAAAAATACAAAGATTAGCTGGGCATGGTGGTGTGCGCCTGTAATCCCAGCTACTCCAGAGGCTGAGGCAGGAGAATCGCTTGAACCCAGGAGGTGGAGGTTGCAGAGAGCCAAGATTGCGCCACTGCATTCCAGCCTGGGTGACAGAGTGAGACTCCGTCTCAAAAAAAAAAAGGAATGTGTGTAGTACACTCATGCTTACAGAACTCCCATAAACTGTAAACCCACGGCTGTGTGCCCGCTTCTGAGCCTCGACCACCTGCACCGAGAGCTGTGCTCTGTGTAACGCCCTGCAGAGTTCTGCTGACTTTTGTGAACACTTTCCCATGAGGGTTCCACTTCTGATGGCCACGCGGGGCTTCCCCAGCCAAGGCCCCTTCTGCTCCCTCTGCTCTGCACTCTGACCCCTGCTCTTGCCGTTTGGTTTCCCTGCACTGTGCTGTCCTGAACTAGCTACCTGTGCATCTGTCCCTTCCACCAGACCCTCAGCTCTGAGGGCAGGCATGCCTGTGTCAACCTCTTTGTCCCCAGCACCTGACCCATCACAGGGGCCTGAATCTCATTTATAGAACAGGGCACGAGCAGACTAAATGACAGAAAACATCAACAGGTCTTCATTAACCCAGACGGCCAAGATCGCCTGTCAGGCGCATCAAGGCCTCTAGCAGCTCGGGCTGCCCCACAGAATTACCCTAGCAGCAACTTTGTAAACGATAGAGCTGACCAGAGACCAGAGTTGGAGGAGGCAATGGTCGTCCTATCCCTGGAAGGACCCAAGTACATGCCAGGTGACTGGCAGGAGTATATATGACCTTTCAGGCCCCCGGTTCCCTGCGATTCTAGAATTCCAGATCTGCGCTCGCTTGGATCACTCAACTCTCCTTGTTTGATTTTCTTCAGGCCAATGACATCCTCATCCTCCGGAGCCACGAGTCCAACGCCCCTGGGTCTGCTGGTTGTCAGGCCTCAGAGAAGCCAAGGGAAGGGACAGGGAAGTCACGAAGGGCACTACCTTTTTCAGAGAAGAAGAAAAAAACAGAGACATTCAGTAAGACCCAGAATCAGGAGAACACTTTCCCCTGTAAAAAATGTGGCAGGTAAGGTGGCCAGCCCTGTCCCCGCTAGGAGCCAGGGGGCTGGTGCGCAACGGGGGCGGGGCCCGGGGGGAGGGGGAAGAGGTACAGGCGGCGTCCGCCTCGTTTCTGATTGGCTCAGCGAGTTTCTAGGGCTGTGACGTCATGGGGCAGCTTTCGGAAAATGATACGAGCTGGCCAGCCCCGGCTGTGCCTCGTCGGGGGGGTGAAGGTGAAGGCTGGGGTTGCTCGCGCACCCGCGCTGGGAGCCCCGGGGTGGGCCAGGGCTGTCCTGATCAACCCCTGTCCGGCCGCAGGGTGTTTTACAAGGTGAAGAGCCGCAGTGCGCACATGAAGAGCCACGCAGAGCAGGAGAAGAAGGCTGCAGCGCTGAGGCTAAAGGAGAAGGAGGCCGCCGCTGCCGCCGCCGCCCACCAGCAGGCTCTGCGGGAGGAGAGCGGCGCGGGCGCGGGCGACAAGGGCTGAGCGCGGGAGCCAGGCTGGCCCAGTCCTGGACCCTGGCCCTTCCCGCACCTCCGCCAGCGCCCGCAGACACCCTGGCATCTCAAGAGGGAGTGAGGAGAGGATCGCAGGGATTTTTCCCTGCGAAACAAATGAGACAATGAAATAAACGGCTCTTTTACTTATGAAGGCCCCGGGAGCAGCGTTAAGGGCTCCAGGATCCAGTTCTCTTTGCATTTGGTCTGTCGGAAGTTGTCCTCGTGCTTTCCTGAACCGGGAGAGTCCCGTTCCCCTCAGGAGGGGCTCCACTGCCTCTCACACTCCGACTTCTGCTGCTCTGCTGCCCCGCAATCTCTTCCCTCCTCTTTGCCTCCCCCTCCTCCCCTCGGCCTCCAGGAAGCCACCGTGGCCGGCCAAGCACAAGCTCACCCACTTTGGAGCAGCATTCCTCCTCCCCAGAGGACCTCGAAGGCTGCAACGGCCCTGCCCCAAGCCCCAGAAAAAGGGACTCTTGGAGGGAGTCTGCTGGCTTCTCTGAGAAGGGGCGCAGCCTGATACCTGTGCTGTCCCTGCAGTCTCCAGTCCTGCCTGAGCTGCTCCCGTGACCGTGCCCTGAGTGGCCACCTCCTCTTTGGGAGGGAGGCCGCGACAGGTACTCTCCCTTTGCTGCTTGCTGGCGGCGCTGCTGGGCCTACAAAGTTTTCTCGGCGTTGGGGAAGGGGCTAACGTTCTTGTCCAAAGCACTCATCTTGCTGCAGGGAAGGGAGCTGTGCAGAGGCTGGAAGCTGCAGAGTTAGGCCGGAGAGAGCTTTTGACAAGCTTGGCTCTTTTTGCTTCCCACCTTTTTTGCCAAATACCTTTGGGTCCTGGAGGCTGCCAAGGGCGCTCCGCCTTGAGCAGGTCCCAGAGAGGCTCAGCCTGCCCCTCCTGGGAGCCAGCGTCCTTGCCTCTGCCCTGACCTCAGCAGCTACACCTAACCCCACCGCACCCCACCCAGTGTCGATATCCACAACCTAGCCCCCAGGCCTGCACACTGGAGATTTCTGGATCCTTCCCTAGGAGGGAGAGGTCTCCAACTCGATTGGACAGGAGCCTTCATTCCTTGACTCGTGTCATTTGGGAGCTATTTATTTATTCTTAGTATTTAATTTTTAACATCCTCTCAGGGACCAGGGGCCTCCTGCTTTTCAGAGGCCCAAGTGCATTTATCCCAAAACGAGGCATCTTGACATCCCCCATCCCCCCCGAATTCCCAAGGCCCTAAGGTCCCTCACCTGGTTGCTCTGGAAGCTCTCGCCGGTAGGAATGATAGCAACACTGGGAGAGAGTGGGAAGGTGGAGGGTGTCACCAAAGCCACACAGAGCAAGGGAGATCAAAGGCAGTTCTTGCTGCCCCTTCTCTGGCTGTGCTTTGCCTGAGGGAATTGGCAACAGGCCAGGATTCTAATTTGGTTTATGGGGCCTGGATTGTGGTTTGAAGAAGCCATATTTGGCATGGGTGAAGTGAAAGGGCCAGGAGGTTCTGGAGGCCCCTTCACGTCCAGTCCCATAGCGGGGCTAGAGCGGGGCTCAGCTGTTTTTCTGATCTTACTCAACTGAGTTGTGCAAAAGAAATTCTAAGTGAATGCGCGTTTGACAGGTCAATGTATTAGGAAGGAGCCAGAAAGTATTCATACTGCTACTCCTTACGAGATAGCCAAGAAGCGTCAGGTCAGTAACTGGGAGTGGAGAGGGAGTTTTGTTTTGAAACTGTGCACTGTCAGGTATTTTTCAGCATCCATTTATACATTAGTGTGGTTCTACAGGACCCCGGCTGTGGAAGTAACAAATTTCTTCTCCCTCCAGACTCTTGGATGACTACCTAGATCCCCAACTTCCCAGTTAGTTTCCTCCACAGGTTTCCATGAGCTCAGTATCCCAAGACAGCAAAAATCTGGTATACCCTGTAGAAGCAGGGGGGTAGCAAATTTAGGCTCTCTTCGAAATTACTTGTATAATACGAGTGCCTTCGCAGCTTAGCCCCAAAGTGCTACTTACGTTTCCCAAGGTTTTTTGTATTCAAACCATATTTGGTTTCAGTCTCCTTTATGGACATAGGGTAACAGAAACCTCCATCATTCAGGAGACCCTTTTGTTCAGTGGTAACATCTTGTACTTGGAAAAAAAATTTTTTTTTTTTGCGACAGTCTCATTCTGTCGCCCAGGCTGGAGTGCAGTGGTGCGATCTCGGCTCACTGCAACCTCCGCCTCTCGGGTTAAAGGATTCTCCTGCCTCAGCCTCCTGAGTAGCTGGGATTACAGGCACACACCACCACACCCAGCTAATATTTTTGTATTTTTTTTTTAGTAGAGATGGGGTTTTGCCATGTTGGCCAGGCTGGTCTTGAACTCCTGACCTTAGGTGATCCACTCACCTCGGCCTCCCAAAGTGCTGGCATTACAGGCATGAACCACCGCGCCCGGCCGTAAATGTTTAAACAAGAAAGGGATTCTACTCTTCTAAGCTTACAGAGACCAGACCCGGTGAATGTAACTGGGGAAAATCAAGATGGTACCTCTCTGCATTAATCCCGCCAGACACCGTATTTTAGGAAGGTCCATGCTCCAGGATGCATTCATGTCTTGGATACAGTGTGAAAATTTAAAAGTTTAGAGGGTAGATGCAATTGTGGTAAGTGACCTGCCAATAAAGTAAGTGCAGCTATAGAAGCTGGCATAGGTATATCCTTAATGGTGCTTTCTCCCTGGGCTTGTCTTTTGTTGTTTTTTTCCCTGTATTCAGAGCTCTGAGAAGTGATAAACACCTCCAGCTTTCTTAACATCCTCCCCACACCATCTCACCATATCCATCTCCCAGCATCCATCTGCATTCAGCTAAGGGCGGGAAACTGACCTAGTGCCTGTGCTGTAGACCATTTCTGAGGTCTCCACCCATCCAAGGAGGCAGAGCCATCATTACTGTCCTCCATGCCTTCAGCAGCCCCCCTCACAGCTAAGGTACATACCACCCCTTCTGCCGCACCCCCTTCCACTCCTGGCACCAAGGTCTTTTGCTGCTTATGTCTAAAGGGATCGCCTATATTTAACTGCCTCAGTGACCTAACCTCTTTCTTCTCATGTGCCAGATGTTAAGATGAAGGAGGAATACAACACATACTCAAGCCTCAGCTGTTTAGTTGTTTTCACTGGGGCTCGCTTTTCTGGGACGGTATTTATTATCAGACTGGCAAGCCTAACTCCATAGGTTTACAGGAAGTAGGGATATTTTTATAAAACAATTGTGTCCTCCCCACATTTTGCTATGTTAATATTTGCCTCTAACAATTTGCAGCTGTTTCACTTTTTCTTCATTTGTCTCTAAGTTGAAGGCCTTGTTGGAGGGGACAGAGCACAGGAACAGCCTTGACAGTCTGTAATTATTGTACAAATATTTTAATGGCATATAAATAAGTATATTCCTTTTATTTTGAAACAAAAATGATCAGACACTGCCTTTTGTGTGTTTGCTGCCTGTGGCACCCTTTTTTAAAAAGACTGTTACATATTAAAATAGTGTACATATATATAAATATTACCTCTTTTGCTGTACAGTTGTGATAGAGACTGAAGATTTTATTTTTTGTGTGCTTTTTATAAGAAAAAATTAATACACTAAAGAATCTTGCTGATGTGATTGTAATGTACCTATGTAACTTATTTACTTTTGAATGTTCTTCTGTATCTTTAAACCTTTTATTAAATAAGGTTTTAAAAATTCAGAGTTGAATGCTATGTTCTCTTGGGATTTTCACCATCTGGGGTTGATGTAAGTGGGCCTTGTCTTGCTTGCAGGGAGATTACTCGACATTTTTGAGCCATAAGGATTCTCTTTTAGCAGCCTATTGTCGATGCCAGCCAGGAAAAGGAAAATAACACACTAATGTTTGCCTGGCTAAAAGATGACTCAGTAGACACAGACAAACAGATGTTTACAAAAGTTTAGACAAGAAAAAGTCTAAACTCAGTATCTCACACAAATAAATGGCGCACTCCGACATTTTGGCTTCATTGGGATAAAATATGCAGGGTGCACAGTGTGGTCAGGGGTAATGGGAAGCCAGGGTTCTGAGGAGAGTATTTTCACGTGCAGGGTGGACTGGCTGAGCAACCCGAGTAGACAAGTCCACCATGAGGGATGCCATCATTTCCAACAGTATCATCTTAAATCCACTCCAGGATTGGATTGTTATTTTTAAAACACGGTGCTTAGCAGTATTTGTTTGCTGTTAAAATGGAAAATTATGAAAAAGGAAATGCGCCATCAGAGAAACAAATGCCCGAGCCCCTCGCTGGCACCATGGCAACCGCTCGACCCCCGCGGGCCGCCGGAGCAGGCGTGATTCGCGCCAGCTGGGACACCGTTGCCATGGCGACGCCCGAGCGGCTCCGCCGCGGGGGCGGGACGGGGCGGGGCTGACGCCGCTCGCGGGCTGGCCCCATCCTCCACTGCAGCAGTAACGTCGCAGCGGGTTGCGGGTAGGACTCGACGCTGAGGCAGCCGCGCAGCGTCTGAGCCGCTGCAGGCCGCCGCGGCCGCCGCTGCCCACCCTTGCCTGTGCTGTTTCCAGCCTCGCTTCTCCGGCTTTCCTGCTCCTCTGCTGCCTTCGTTTCTGGTCCTCGGCCGTCCTCGCCGCCCGCCCAGAGGAGTCCCCGCGCCCGCCAAGAGGAGTCCCCACGCCCTCCAAGAAGCCGCTCTCCGCTGGCCCGCAGCCGCCGCGACTTCGGCACAGTCTCTCCCTCTGGCTAGTCTCCCAAACGGCCGCTCCTCGCCCGCGGGAAGACCAGGCTGCGACCGCGAACGCCCTATTCTCTCCAGGAGCCGCAGCGAACGCCCGGCGGCCACGCCCCGCGACCACACCCCGGGTGCTTTCGGCCCAGCGCGCCTGCCTTCGCCGCCCGCCCTCGCTCCTTGCCGGCTGCACGACGACGCGACAGCCCGGCTGCAAGCGGCGGACCCGACCGGACCCGGACCCAGACGCAAGATGGCGACGGCCGCGTGACTGCCTCAGCGTCCCCGAGCTCAGCTCCAAGTGCACCTACGGACTGACTGGGGGGGGCAGAGAAGGGCGAGATCAGGACTCTGTGTCTTTGTTAGTCGTGAATGCATGAAGCGTACCTCCCTCGGGCCTACTTGGTGGGAGTGTCTGGTATTGTTCTAAGGCCAGGAGTACGGTGAGCCACAGTCTGTTGGTAGAATTGGCGTCTTGATAGTTGAGAAAATGGCGATGACACTGTTGGAAGACTGGTGCCGGGGGATGGATGTGAACTCCCAGAGAGCTCTGTTGGTCTGGGGCATCCCAGTGAACTGTGATGAGGCTGAAATCGAAGAGACCCTCCAGGCAGCGATGCCCCAGGTCCCCTACCGAATGCTTGGGAGAATGTTCTGGAGGGAAGAAAATGCGAAAGCAGCCTTATTAGAGCTCACTGGCGCTGTCGATTACGCCGCGATCCCCAGGGAGATGCCGGGCAAAGGAGGGGTCTGGAAAGTGTTGTTTAAGCCCCCGACTTCTGATGCTGAATTTTTAGAAAGATTGCACCTCTTCCTAGCTAGAGAGGGGTGGACCGTGCAAGATGTTGCCCGTGTCCTTGGGTTTCAGAACCCTACTCCGACCCCGGGCCCAGAGATGCCAGCAGAGATGCTAAACTATATTTTGGATAATGTTATTCAGCCTCTTGTTGAGTCCATATGGTACAAGAGGCTGACACTTTTCTCGGGGAGGGACATCCCAGGGCCTGGAGAGGAAACCTTTGATCCCTGGCTGGAGCACACTAATGAGGTCCTAGAGGAGTGGCAGGTGTCCGATGTAGAAAAGAGGCGGCGGTTGATGGAGAGTCTTAGAGGCCCTGCCGCTGATGTCATTCGCATCCTCAAGTCCAACAACCCCGCGATAACCACTGCCGAATGCCTGAAGGCGCTTGAGCAGGTGTTTGGGAGCGTTGAGAGCTCTAGGGATGCCCAGATCAAATTTCTGAACACTTATCAGAACCCGGGAGAAAAATTGTCTGCTTATGTCATTCGTCTGGAGCCTCTGCTACAGAAGGTGGTAGAGAAGGGGGCCATTGATAAAGATAACGTGAACCAGGCCCGCCTAGAGCAGGTCATTGCTGGGGCCAACCACAGCGGGGCCATCCGAAGGCAGCTGTGGCTTACCGGGGCTGGGGAAGGGCCGGCCCCAAACCTCTTTCAGTTGCTGGTGCAGATCCGTGAGGAGGAAGCCAAGGAGGAGGAGGAGGAGGCTGAGGCCACCCTTCTGCAGTTAGGCCTGGAAGGGCACTTCTGAGTGCCAGAAAAGGCAGCTTTAGTGCAGACCTAGATCACAGCTAGTTTTCTTGTCCCTGTGGGGTCTTACAGATGTGTCTCTGAGTAGTAAAGGCTTAGCCCTGTTCTGTTTTGTTGTCTTTTTTTGGAGGGGAAGGTTAGTCAGGCCTGAGTATTCATGTAACATTCTAAAATTGTGCAAGCGAGCACCGTGAGCTGCTACAATGCAAGTGGGTCTTGCTGGCTAAAGTGCCAGGTAAAGGGTTGGTTGGACACAGCGCTTAGTGCACGCTGTCATCATGGACATCATAATCAGTTGTGAAAAACACACGAACCTCTGACACTTCCACACTGAATGTGAAATTGCATGTGCAGATGTTTACTACGGGGCCTGGCTCACAGGAAGTGTTCAGTAAAAGTATGAACTATTAGATTACTGATAGCGCAGACAGATTTTTCTTTACCATAAATAGTTCCAGATTTATATTGATGGAAGGAAATGTGCATTTATTAGCTATTACTCAACTTTACAATGCAAACATCGTATTTCTCATCTTTAAACATGTCGATCAGTTTAATTGAAAAGTATTCTGAGACTGCAAAATGGGGTGTTAAAAAAATACTGCAATTACGGAGCTGTGTAAACCAGTTTCTCATTGCATAAGATACAGATGTAAATTGCATGGAGAGGTTGATACGCACCTGTACAGTAATTCACTTCCCCATTTCAGATCTTTGTCAGAGAATAGTTCTTGTTCATACTGAGTGTTCTAAATTTGAAGTTATATATACAAATTAAAATATTTTAAAAATTCTGTTGTCTTCTCATTTTTCTGGCATATATAAACATTTTTAGCCTAAGTAAACTCTGTCCTTTTTTCTTATGAAGACTTTGTCATTAAACCATTTATTTTACTCTTAAGCTTTGTATGATACTATGTGAATTTAAATGGCAAGTCCTTTTTTTTCCTTCCCCTCTTGCTGTCATCTTAACATTTTTTTGGTTCATTTTTTAATTTTTTAAATTTTTTATTTTTAAGGGCAGAGAGGGGCTTGCTCTGTTGCCCAGGCTGGAGGGCAATGGAGCGATTTCAGCTCACTGCAACGTCTGCCTCCCGGATTCAAGTGATTCTCCTGCCTCAGCCTCCTGAGTAGCTGGGATTACAGGCATGCGCCACCACACCTAGCTAATTTTGTATTTTTTTAGTAGAGATGGGTTTCACCACGTTGGTCAGGCTGGTCTGGAATGCCTGACCTCAAGTGATCCACCTGCCTCGGCTTCCCAAAGTGCTGGGATTACAGGCATGAGCCATCTCGTTTTTTCTACTAAAAATACAAAAATTAGCCGGGTGTGGTGGTGGGTGCCTTTAATTCCGGCTACTTGGGAAGCTGAGGCAGGAGAATCACTCTGGGAGGCAGAGGTTGCAGTGAGCCGAGATTGCGCCACTGCACTGCAGCCTGGGCAACAGAGTGAGACTCTTGTCTCAAAAAAAAAAAAAAAAAAAAAATTTAGAGACCAGATATGGTGGCTCACACTTGTAATCCCAGCACTTAGGGAGGATTGCCTGAAGCCAAGATTTTGAGACCAGCCTGGGCAACACAGACCCAATCTCCACATACATTTTTAAAAATTAGCCAGGCATGGTGGCACAGGCCTGTGGTCCCAGCAGCTCAGGCAGCTGAGGTGGGAGATTGCTTGAGCTCAGGAGGTTGAGGCTGCAGTGCGCCATGATTGCCCCACCGCACTCCAACCTGGTGATAAAGTGAGACCCTGTTTCTCAAAAAAAATTTTTTTAGAAAATCTTGAAATGGGGTTCAGGAGGTTATCTGGCAATGTTTTTCTCTTAAGATCACTTTTCAGCTAAACATTTTATTTCACTGAAGAAATAACTATAATTCATCACACCTGTGTAAAATGACGGCCTATTTTACAACAGCCATTTATAACAGGAAGATATAAATAGGGAAATACAGCTTTAAAACATGTGTTTTTTTTGCTGCAAAGATTCAGTGATTGAAGATATCCATCTTTTGAGGTCCTCAGTGAATCTAAAGTTACTACATGAATATTGTGTTCAGTGAGCTTTTCCCTAATAAGGTTTTAAAATTATAGCTGAGCCATTCGACAAGTTTATAAGGGGTAATGTATGTTCTTCCAGATTTTTCGGTGCACATATTCGCTTCACGTCTGTACATCCCTTTCCTCCTGTCACAAACACATCTCCACATACTTGCCTTGGTTCCCAACAGATATGCTCAGCTTCACTTACCACAAACACTCGGCATGTCTTCACCCGCTACCCACCATTCACATAACTTTCCCCTCCATTCCCACCAGCATCAGGCACGCACTCAGCCGACCTCTCACACTCTGGACACATTCACTGTCATCTCCCCTTCAGTACTCCCAGGATAACATACACCCTCCTCCCGTTCCATGTACACTATGCCACTCTCCCA